CCCCCCGCACTGATATATAAAATGTGCAACTGACACTTTAAAGTGTTGAACACTTTGAAGTGTGTGCCAGTTGCACACTTTACATGTCAGTGCACTTTTGCTCTTTCGCGACCCGTGCGCGTGTCCTCCTCGCCCCCGACGCACGTGCTGGGGCCATCATTACGTAAGGTAATTTGTAGAAATTCCCCCCCTCCCCCTCCCGGTTTCGTTCGCCAGGCACGCCAGTGGGTGCGCCTGACTGCCAGCTCCCTCCTCCTCAGCGGCAGCCCGGCAGGCGTCGGTGCACAGCGGCAGGGTTGCCAGATCGGGCGATTATGCGCCCGCCGGGCGATTTCTATTTCGATCCGGACGATTCGGGCGACTTTCCGTTCTTCGGGTGGTTCCTGATGTTTTCTAGGCCTACTTCACCCGTTTCGGAAGTAAAAGTGCACAATCTCAATGCTAGGCAAGATACCAAAGCAAATTTAAAAACAGTATATTTTTGATATTTTTACTCTCTTTGGATTTGTGACTTAGAGGTCCTCTGTAGTTCTAGCTAAAGGTGTCATTTTATTTCTTTCTGCCTTGTATATTATTATCATGATAAATCTTTCCTCCGTCAACAGCCACCTGATTTCGCGAGAATCATACATCTTGATGGAGATACTTTGAAGTCGTTCCATGCTGAAATCGATGGACCCAGTTAAACTCCTTACTCTACGGGACGATTCTTAATCAACATCTACATGCCAACAAATTTTCCTATTGATCCTCCAAAGGTATCTATCACAATGCTCTTCTGCTTTCAAAATAAATGAAATTTCTTGGCTGCTTATTCACTGATGACTTTATTTCTTTGTTTTTATCAGTTTAGAATGGTAACTAAGGTGTGGCACCCAAATATATCAACAAACGGCAAAATATGTGTGGATATATTGAACGAGAAATGGTAGGCCTATAGGTACCTAAGCAGTTGTCTTGCCAGTGTATCTTTTTTGTATTTTTGTAATCTCACTGCTTTTACTTCAACAGGAAGCCAGGTATGACACTACTAGAGCTCTTGGAAGGCATGCAGGGCCTCCTAAGGGCTCCAAACCCTGACTCTCCTCTGAGTATGGACGCGGCTGCTATGATGAAGCTAGTTGACCAGACAATGTATCTGTCTACTTGTGTGGCGTACACGTATACTTTTGCATTTTGTATGTTGTTTTCAGTCCTAATGTTGCCCCCTGTGAAATAGCTGTTTTAAAGTAATTATTTTTAAGAATATGCATACTTTTCCCTCAATGGCCCTTTAGATCTCTTTTATTAAATGATGAAATCTGTTTTGAAAATTTAATTGATCTCTATATTTAACTTCTCATTGCATGAAATTAAACTCCCTGAGCTCATTCCCAGTCTCATTTTAAATGTCTAGTAAACGCTATCATAATACTAAAAGTTTCTTTCAATTTTCTTTTAAGTCATTCTTAATTCTGAACCTTAGCTGTAGTAATCATGCATGGAAAAAATTCAATATAGAAGAGGTAGGCATTACAGAAACTTTGTTAATTATTTGTTGCTCTGCCAGATAAGCAGCCCCGTCATTGAGGAAAAGATAAGCGTCCTGATGTCCTTCAACATCTCCAGAGAGGATGCTTTGACTCGTCTTGCAGCTAACAGATTAGATGGAGAGAGGGTGGTTAACCTCTATAACTTGTAATTACACATTTAAGTGTCTCTTATCACCTCTATCATTTTGTTTTAACATTTTACATATGACAGTAAATCATACTATGCTTCTACTTTGTATTAAATGGTTTCTTATTTAATAATGTATTTTTTTCAAACTCCACTCCCTTTATTTGTATGCATATGTCAGCACCTGGAATCATCTTTCAAAACACTATAATTTGTACTCTTTAGTTAGCTTTACTTTCCATAAATATAATTCATATTGACATTGGTAGCTAACTACCCCTGGAAAAAAATATTATCTTCAATTACACTTGAAGAGTTGATAACAATTTTGGACATCTCCTGAAGGAAGTTTAAGATGAGGAATTCGATTTGGAAAGTTGCTGTCAATATTCCTCTGGTTAATGACTGGACTTGAGTGTTTTTACTGAGGGGTGTGCAGATTCTTGATGGTCTAGCATTTAGGGGTCTGCGCCCAAGCCTCAGAAAGTGAGCATCTTCAATGGTGGTTGCAGCCATAGACAGAATACTACCTGTAAGGCCAAATTAATGTATATGTAAACCTCTAAAAGGTGCAAGTTCAAGATCAATTCAAATTATCAGATTCTATGCTTTAGGGGGTAGAAAAATTTATGCACTAGGCTTTCAAAAAATAGCGAAATGACTTTGTCAAATCTCTGATATTATTTCATTAAATAATCAAATCGCTATTGAATACTTGATACTACTTGTATTGATGAAGAAAGATTTGATTTCTTTCAATAATTATCACTACAAAACTAGAAGATACCACATTGTTTTCGTGTGTTCATTGACAAAGTGTCCTGCTAGAGAATGAATTCTTCTTACCGTTTTCCTAAGAGAATAAATTTGTACGTACTTATGAAATGTACGTACAAATTTGTACATACTTATGAAATGTTGAATTTTGTGCTGGTTTCTAGAGCAAAGCCGATTCATGTCTTTTAACTATGTTTCCCTGTCGGAGAAATTTGACTGTCACAAACATTTAACAATTTTAAAATTTAATATCACACTACATAAATTTAAGTTCTCTTTACCACCTGATATAGTTAGTTTTCTGTGGACAACCAGAAACTGATATGTTTAGAGATTGTTCAGCAATCAAATCTTCAATGGGCCACAGGCGATCAAAGACAGGGTTGTTGCAGTCCATAGCTTCTTGTTTCACAACAAGCAATCCTTTGAGGATCAATGCTCTTGGTAGAAACTGCAGTCCAAAGCACAACCGTATAACACGTTTAAATGAGTTCCATTGCATTGGATGATTCCTGAAGTAGTCCATGTGTGTGGCGGCCAGTCTGGTTATCTTCTGTAAAGTAAAAATTTGCTGTGATAAATATATGAAAATAGAGAAATGCTTGTGAAAACTGTTGAATATAGTACATGGGTGAAAAGAAACTTCATTTATTTGATATGATCTAAAATATTCTTATTCTTTGCCTTTAAATATGAGGCATGTAGATATATAGTTTCTAAATTATGCCCCTAAAAATGAGGAATGTGTACCCTTTGGTAAGAAAAGTTTTTTAGTACTCATATTTTTTTTTAATGAAGTAATCTGGCATTATGAACCACGCAACACTCCAAAGAGTTAAAATGAAAGAAGAAAATAATAGAATACTTAAGAATACTGCAAATTGACTTACTATTACATTTTGGTGAACAGAATGGACAATTTGAACACCGAAAATGATTTTGTATGCATCAGCCATACCTTCATCGCACATTACAAAATTAATTTGCCAAGTCCCTAACTTGGCTCGCACTAAAGAAAGCATGGCAATATAGCCATCATGGGACTCATGTTCAAACAAAATCCAGCACCACCGCAACATCTGATGAAACAGCAAAAAAGACACTTTATTTTGAACAGATTTCACACAAGAACCGCAACTTCACCATGAATGCTAACTTACAACATTATTATCTGTCGTGCAAATGGTGTGAACCTGTGGGGAGAGGGCAACATAAAGATATTTTTTGCAATTATAACTGGACTGCAAACTAAAATAATTAAGAAGAAGAGGACCATTGATTTCCAAACAGACATACTTACCCACCACTGCTGGGAACCAGTGGCTAAAAATGATGCATTAAAAGAAGCAATATAGGTGCTGGTTCTCAGCAAGTGCAGTGTTAGTGGTAATTAAGACAAAGGAAGAGCCATCTGGTAAATTTTCTGATCCCCCGGACACAGTTTCAATTGACCCAAATGAACTTGTAACAGTCACCGGCTGAAGAAGTGAACTTAACTCTCGGATATTCATTGTAATGGATAACAATACAGGTAATTGGCTGTAACTGATCACAAAACGTCTCAGAAGTAAAGTGTGTATAGTCAGTCAGATCGACGCCGAAAGTGCTTAAAGCGCCGTTGGCCTCGACACGGTATTATTAGAGTAATAAGAAAGGAGCAGATAATTTAAATAGAACAAAAGACAGTCTATATATAACTAGCCAGGACCTTCGGTCCTTATGCTGATCTCGCCTCTCTCTCCCTATATA